AAATGTGTAAGCTGTCTAAATAGAGGTCTGACTTTGAAGTTTCCTGCCTTCCATGCTGGCTCAGTCTGCTCTGCCAGATCTGCGCAGGTCTGTTTTTTCAACCCAGAGTTTTACATTATTAGTAGTAACATTGCTATGCTATTAGGTGCCACTGAACCTGGCTCCCCAGATTCTAGAGCTAAAGATGATCTGAAATCATCTAGGGCCAAATGCCTCATCTTCGAGATGAGAAAAAAACCCTGAGGTCAGTTACAAATTGGGTCAGAGCTAAGGCTAGTCTATCTCTGATAGTCTCCATTTAATTCTCAGTAATTTTACCAAATGCAAAATTGTGGGGTTTCTTATCTAACAAAGAACCAAAGGCTGAAGGCTAATGATGACTTTCTCAATATGCAAATAAAACCCAGATCATTGAAAATCCAGGTGCTTTTAAATTTCAAACATGCAATTTCAGGATTCTGCTATTAATTCATGTCTTGGGCAAGCAATAAGGATCAAGCAAATGTTAACCTGGAGCTCATCAGCTTTCAAATTCATTAGTTTGCCTGGCTATTCAGAAATAGTAAACTTTTTAATATCGACATTATGGTTCGTATTATAAAACTGTAGGTTAAATTTAAAAAAAATGCTTTTCCATCAGAGGTACCATCCATTGTGATGATTATGAGACTGTGGTGCAACTTGGCATCGAAGAAATGTATCACTGACAAAGAAGGCATTTTTTTTTTTAAAGGAAAGAAACATACCCGATTACTGCTATAGAACTATTTGGCTACTTATTCTGATTTGTGGCGTGCTGTTTGTTTTGTAGCCTTTAAAAGGTGGAGCCAGAAAGAAGTGAGGTGTGCAAATGGAGATGAACAGTTCTAAGGCTATTGCCTTTGGTTTTTAGGTAACCTGGGTTATTTCAAGCATCCTTTCCAGAACCCGTTCTTTAGTTTGAACAGTCTCCTGAGCAGCCTTCCACAGCTAATCACAAACCTACTATATCAAAGGCATTGGAGGCCAGGCAGGTCCCCATGGGTTTATCCAGGGCATCCCCCTAGGTTTAGAAGGCCTTACTCTTATCTCTCACACCAGAAGCTTATCTGGTAGGGCCTGGGGCATGTGCAGAACTGCAATGAGGCCCTACTTCCGCCAAGGACAGAGCCTTCCTGCCCAGCTTCCTTGTGGCTCCAACTTCCTGCTCAGCTCTCTTGCTTTAGTTCATCTCCAAGCAATATCATTACGAAACATTAAATGTCACCTGAGTGCCAGGGAGTGAAGGGCCATGTACTGCAGAGATGTGGTCACTGGGTTCAAGGAGTTAACCACCCAGACTGCTTACTAGACCCTGCCGCTCCTGACTTTCTAGAACTCTGAAGTAAGGACACGATCTAAATTACGTTCCACTTCAAGCCTGGCCCCCAAAATTCTTTGTTCTTGGCCGTGGCAGGGCTTTTCTTGTGTGTTCCTGAGTCCTACATTTTCACCTAGTGACTCTGTTTATGGTACAAATTAAATTGCTCTAGCAGTTTGGTGCTGGATCTTCTGCAAGAGACTGTTGCCACACCCGTGGGAATGGACTATCTTCAATAATAAAATTCATTCACATGGTCCCCCTCCCCCCCACCCCGCCCCTGCCCCTAAGGCTGGCAATTACTGTTATCTTCCTTTGGGCCTGTGGTGCTGTGAGATACAGAGTACTATGAAATAAGTTCTCTGCCAGAGGCCAAAGACTCTAACAAAAGTCAAATGTAATAGCTTCCCTGCCCCTCCTCCATGGTGGCAGGGTGTGGTATTTAGTACAAGCTCAAACCAACCTGAATTCAAACCTGATTCTATTTACTTAGCTGTGTGACCTTGGCCAAGTTACTCAACCTTTCTGAGCTTGTGTTCTCATCCTGAAAATAAGAACAATATCTACCTCAAGAATAATTATGAATATTAAATGAGAACCAGTATAAAGCACCTAGGAAAACAACACAAGCATCAATAAAAGCATCAACCTTTTATTGTGCCTACTCTGGACCACATACTGTTCTGTGTGCATTATATTTTAACTCATTTAATCTTTAGAGTAATATTATCCTCATTTTAAGCACCAGAACTAGGACAAAGACCCAAGCAGCCAGACTCCGAGAGGTTTCTTAACCTCATCTCCTTACCCCAAGGAATTGCTGCCTTTTATGCAATATTAACCACTCATTGGTGCACAGAATGGGTTGTTAAATTGCATATGTATGTTTAGGTATGTTCCTTCCTGTGTACTTTGGGGCAAGTTATATAAGGGGTCTGTCCTCAGTTTCCGTACCTGTAAAATACAGATATTAACAGTTCTTCCTTTGTAGGATCGTTAGAAGTCAATGAGTGAATCAAGATAAAGGGATGAAAGAAGTGTTTGGCACTTATGATAGGCTCCATATAAGAAGGCCCTTTAACACCCAAAGTCATGAACAGTGTGATACAGGAGAATTCTTGGGTGTCAGTGCTTCGTAAAGGAGATTTTGTAGCTGGCTGAATCCAGTAGTTTCAAATGACACTACTTGTTCTCTGGCAAACACACTGCATTTAAAAATAGATTTAAATTCTTATTCAACCACTGAATAAACAGGTCCACGGGATTCTGGTTAGAAAGAAATTAGGCTAGGCCTAAATGAAATCAGACTCAAAGAAAGAATTTTAATAATTAAACATATCAGAGCAGTCTTCCTAGAGGTTTTTCAGGTTATGAATTGTTTCTACCCACTGGATAAATGTTATGGCTACCGGGCAAGGAGCTTGTGAAAAATTTACAGCCTGGTAAAAGTCATTGGGCGATATAGGTTAAAACAACTTTATTCCCAATGCTGTTGAATACCATGGATTTTAGAAGTGAAAAAAGGCAGCTTTTGTGAATATGTTGTACATAAAACACCACATTAAAGGAAGAGCTGGAGAGCAGATAGGACAAACTAGCTCAAGTGAGCACTTGTGCAATAATTGTTACGGCTTTATATTTACTCATCTTACACCACATTTAAATTTACAATAAAAAACAAAATGTGCAACACTCGTTATTCTAGCTGTCTTTACATACATGTTCCGTTGGGATACAAAATAGAATTTCACTGTTCAGATTTTGAAGGAAGGGGGAGCTCATCTTATTTCATGCCTGTAGCTGCTGCCACAGCCGCAGCACCATGTTCCAATCATGGAATTCATAATGTAAATCTCTTGCAGATGATACCACTGGAAAGCTGAAACCTCCATGGATCCAGAAGCCCTTCCAAAGTTCTCCTCCAAGAGTTCCTATCTGTGAGCCCAGAGGCCAGTATTCAATGTCTCATTCAATGAGTGAGGCCTACTGGGAAACCTACATTCTTAGGGAGACTTAATGAAGAACTTTCAACCCTTCCTGGACCATAAAGTCTTTAACATTGATTTCACCTGTGACAATGACAAATTTTTCACAACTGTCCCAACTCATCTCCAAGTGTTTAAATCCATTCTGAATAGGATTTGTGTCACATATATACCCGTGCCACACATTACACTAATGCCAATAAGAATTCATACAAATTACAGGTGGTATCACAGAGAAGACCTCTGGAATGGTCCAAAAAAGATGCTGCATTTTCTTGTTGTTAGATGAAAAATCTTTTCCAAGTTAGAACATCGTAGGAGCCTTTTAACTTGCCTTAGGGATACGCAGGGGGCATCATCAGAACTTCCAAGTGAACCTTTTGTCTCCCAGTGATGTTAAGGGAAGTCTCCAAAACTGGCTTTGCTATTCAGATCCAGACATTTGCTGCTCATCTAATTTTTGTTCTTTTTCAAAGGCAACACGCCCCCAAGAAACTCTTAAATATTGTGAGGTCTAAGAGCTGGGGGTGGGGAGGAAATCTTTGTCTCTCTAACACATTCATCAGTTCCCTCCCATCACTCAGCACCATCTCCCTAAAACCCCCTACGCCCTCAGCACACATCTGACTTCTCCACATACACCGGGGCTGGAAAGATTCCTGTAGCAATACCCCCGACATTCCTATTCTCGCCCTCATTTTAATAAACTCACTTTTTTCAAAAAACAAAATGTAAGTACTTGACTGTCAGCCTGGGCTGCACTCTGAGGCTTTTACTCCTTTCCACACAGCTGTGCTCCCTGCTTTGATGCTGCTGTCCACGCAGCTTGTTCCAGCCACAGCCTGGCTCTCGGTAATGTAACATTCAAGTGCATATTTATTTTTAAACTGACCTCTCCTAGACTGTACAGTATAAAGGAGGTCCTGCCAAAAAATATGCTACTTTCTATTTATAAGATGAAACACATGCCTCCCAAAGTCATGTGAGGGGGATGGAATATAATAATTCATAACGAAAAACTGGCCAGATCTATTCGTCCCCACATGTCTGATACTTGTCTGTGTCAAGACACTTAGTTGCAAGAAGAAAGAAAAAAATCTCGAAAATGCTTCAGCTGTTCAGAAACCACCGTCGGGGGGAAAAAACAAAAACAAAAACAAAAATGAAATGCTAGATTTGCAGGTTGGAGCTCTGGCCACAATGCGCCATCCCCTGCCCCCCGCCGCGGTCAAAGTAAGGAAAGGGTACCGGATCGGTACTGCCACTGCAGATCTGATCTGCACAGTGCACCCCTGTGCGGCCCTGGTGCCAGTTCACGATAGGAGGAGAGTGGTAGCCATGTGCGGCTTGTTCTCAGATGGAAAAATGCAATACGCGCCGAGCACGGCTGTCAATAGCTCGGAGGGTGCAGTAACCGTGCGGCCCCACCCTGAAAAGTGGTGGGCACAATGGTAGATGTCTGAGTCCTGGTCATGGCGCCCGGACTTCTGCCTGTGTGCTTTATGTTCCCTTTGGTCTTTTGGACACCAGCTGAAAGGTGATGCCCTCAGTATCCTCGCTCTCAATGCGTTTCCAAATCTAGCACCCCGCAAACGCCGGAAGCAGCCACGGCCGCCGGTCCGACAGACTCATAAGACAAGCAGAGAGGAAGGAGCCGTGGGCAGGCAGCAACTCACCAGCAGCCCCCGAGGATCGCAGCCGCTGCCCCGGAATCCGGGGCTCCGCACCGACGCCTCCGAGGGCGCACGCAGTCTCTGCCGGCTACGCGCAGATCCAGTTGGGTGGGCGGGCGCGGCGCCTCCTCACAGCAGTACCCGCTCCCAGACGGCGTGAAGTCGCCCAATG